GAGAGAGAGAGAGAGAGAGAGAGAGAGAGAGAGAGAGAGAGCTTTACATTAAACGCTTTCGCAAAATCAGACGAGCTACGAGAACGATTCGTAGCTTAGCCATTCCGCTTAACCCACGTGTAACGAAGGCATTAAGGCTCTTCTCTTCGGGCATGATAAATCTCTTCACACACAAACGCGCAATACAAACCTTTCCCCATTCCCCTGTGCTCCATTTGACAGGGCAATCCCAGACGTTGCAGTATCGTCTGTCGGCGGGCGGCGGTTGCGGACACATGTAATTTGGCACGGGCACTGTCTTGCCGTTGCCGCGTGTCACTTCGTGAATACAGGTGACGTCACGTGTCTGTATACCGATACCGCAGGGGCTCATGCAAGTGGAGAATTCGCTATAGTTCCACCTGCGGGCGCAAACGATGACACATTCGTCAAGCGAAATCGCGCGGACACGCTCGCGTTTGAGAGCGCGGTAACGACATAATTGCATTTCGCTTAACGGGGAACGTTAATAATGTATCGTGTAAAACGCAAATAACGTGATTGAGCGTGTTTTTAAACGCGCTACAAGCCGCCGATGTAAAAAAAAGCGCAGTGAACAAGAAAAGCGCCGTGTTACAAATATATACAAATGAATATATACAAATATATAAATGAATAAATAAATTCCCCGAGCACACACATTTGTCGCCTTTGTAATTTCATCGTACGCATTTACGCGGCGAATAACTCGCAGGATTACTAATTACTGTACACGAAGAGAATTTTACAGTAAAAATTACTATGGAATTTTCTAACCGAGGAATAGATTGACATTATGCAATTATACATTATTAACTTTTCATTTCATGTTATTTATAGAATTTGGAAGCTGAAATTAAGGCTCCTAGATGCTCGTCATGGCCATATTGGGTTGTGACGTCAGAGACGAGAAATAATACACTGAAAATTTCTGCATGCCATTTTCAAATAAAAAGATATTTGAATGAAAAAACGCTTCAGATCGTTTGAACATTCTTGTAAAATGTTTTGAAAATTATCCTTTTTCCTTGATAATTAGTAAATAAATGTCGCAAAATAATGAAGAAAGATATACTAAAAAGAAAGTTTGCGTGCCATGTTAATTTCTGCAGCTATTTATTGACTATCAAGGAAAAAGGACAGTTTTCGAAGCATTTACGCCCAAGCGATCTCACATGTTGTTTCATACAAATATCTTTTTATTTGAAAATAGTACGCAAGAAATTTGGGCATGCGTTTTCTCGTTTCTAATGTCATCAGTCAAGAGTTCCGCGACGAGGGATCAGGGGCTTAAAAAAATTTGCTACGCTTCTAACAAAATTACTATGTTTCTTTGTAAGATAGGCCTTAATAATAGTCTATTCCTATACTATTATGCTACAAAGTTTGGTAATAGTGAACAAATGTACTTGCAGTATTTTAATGCAATATTGGATTTAATATCTATATTTAATTAATATCAAATATGATAATAGTTACTAATATAAGTATGATAATATATTTATAATTATAATATATTTACAAAATAATTAATGAAATAAATTCTGTGCATTAGTTAAATAGTTTAATAAAGAAATAATCAAATAAATAATATCAAATAATTTCATTATTCAAGCTCGGTAGTTGGGTAATCAGTATCAAATATGATAATAGTAATTAATTGTCTGATAATAATTATAAAATAATTAGTAAAGCAAATTCTTCACACACATAATTTAGTCGAACTAATTAAATGATTTGGTAAAGAATATTAAATAACTTCATAATATAATTATTATTATATATTTGATTATGATCAAGTATTTGATTCTCTCGTATTATTATTATATAACGTAGTAAATATTAAGCAATTCAATAAATTGTTTAGTGATACGTACTACACATAAACTGATTACAGTTACTATAATTTTAATAACAGATACCTTTGCTAAGATTATATATGAATATTCACGATTATGTATGAATTTCTCAAATTATTTAATAATATTCATCTATACTTTTATATAGTTGAAATTTTATATAATTAAAAGTTTTTCCAAAGTTTTTCTGGTACATATCCAGGCTCGATGGTTGTTATAAAACTGTTTCTTCAACGTAGAAACATAGTACAATTGAAAAAAATTGATATAAAAAAACTATAATATTCTCTCCATGTATATTTGTTTGGTAAAAAAAAAACACTCATTAATTTTCGAAATACCGTCGAGTTGACGCGCATTCGTTAGACTAAGTTATCAGGATATTATGACAGCCCAAGGGTTAAACATGTCGTACTTCGGATTAACGGTAACTCAAACATTACGTAACGCAAAGCATTCCAACATTTGGGCATTAAACTAATCCGTATCCGGTTGCAGTCGCTCTCTCACCTGGGAGGACATGGATGGTCGTTGCAGACTCGTATCCTCGCCTCGGGTTTCGTCTCGGCGGAGCACAGAAGTGGCATTGCGGTTTTCCCGGTGTCGTCGCGCACGCAGTTTATAATGAGATCCTGAACACCTAGATATGAGATAGACAGAGAGGGAGACACGCAGTTATCGATCAATCACGAGCAGGAGTTCGAGTTATGAGCGAAAGATAATCTGTGCGGATGTTGCGCGCGCGCGTACCTTCTTTCCCTTTGTATCAACGACACGGACTTATCTAATGCGATTATAACTGAGCACTGTTAATTGCACAATGACATCGATTTCGCCGGAGGCTAATTGAGGAATGTACGTCGACGACGTGAATTTGTTTCTCTAATCCTATTCGCGGCAAACGATCAATGCCTAGTTTCATGTGCACCTCACGAACGGCTCTCTCGTTTCGTTAGACGTCGTGCAGAAGATCGGCATAGCAAAGCGAGAAGGATTATCTGGCCGATCGTATTACTCTCGCAAAACCCGTCGAAGTGTGTTTTGCAAGACCCGTGACAAGTGTTTCCGACAAGCGCGCGTGGAATTTCGCGAATTTAATTGCGATGAAGCTGCAAGTGATACGTTCCTTGGCTACTCACTTGCAATTTGCGCGATTCAAACGGAATCATTACGTATACATCTTCGCGTATGGGCAGAATCGAATTTGATTTTATTACTCTCTAAATTTTATAGGGTGGAATCCCGCTGAAAACGAAATGAAGAGAACATTTCACTTGAGCTTCCACTTTAGTTCAAAGTGGGTTCTTTCTCTTTACGAGTGAATGTTTCAATCAATTAGAGTGAATTTGTCCTCATATAATAGTAAAATGTGTTATATTTACTATTAAGTTTCAAGCGAAAAATATTTACTCGCTGATTCAGAATGGAGTATTCACTCTGTATGAGTAAAAAATCACTCGAATTTGAGTTAGTCGGCTGTCAATCTGCTTTTCGAGTGAAATTTCATTCCAAGAAATTTAGAGAATGCGACAATTACATAAATATTTTTAGAAATGAATCCATAACGCGTTTCTCTGTCCGAAATATTCTCTTTTTCCTTACGAATTTTTACGTACGTAACATCGAATTTAATTTTATTATGATTATATTGAGAAAAAAGTTGAATCAACAAAATCGGCGGTTACTATCTTCAAAAAATATTATATCTATTGAACAAATTACGTGTTTGCGTAATAATAAGTTGCGTTGATATAATTACTGACTCCAAATCGCGACCATTGAATCAATATAAATATATAAATATACAGGGTGTTGAAAAAAAAGGGTCACATATTTTGATAGCAGGTAGTATTGAAAACAAGAAGAAAAGTTCTAATTAAC